GCACTCCAGTTCGCATATCAATAGGACTGATTGACAATCCTTCAATGATGCCGTTTGTACGTTCTCTCAATCACAACAATTACTGTCTCATTTAACCAGTGACCGTTTTGTGCACCCAACTTTACGACCCACACTAGAGAATGCATACAATGGCACCTGCTTGTGCCAAGCCTAATTAATCATAATTATCATCAAATCATTTATTCAGTTTCGGATGCTACAAGCACTCATCATCATCATCATCATGATTAGCCGATGGAAGTCCACTGCTGGACATAGGCCACGTCTAGGGATCTCCAAACACAACGATCCTGAGCTTTTACACATCCAGTGACTCCCCCCGACTCACTTGATATCGTCAGTCCGGTGTCGGTAGCCCCTTACCAGGTGGACAAGCACTCATGAATGTCTAATTACAACATGGTGGCGTCTGTAACATTTATATTCCTATATAATTTTCATTTGTACCCTATTAGTCCTTTCACGTTCATTGCAGTTGTTTTTGCAAGTAACATGAAATAACGATGGTATTATTATGTGAACGTCTTAAAAGGAAGATTGTACAGAAAGTTAAATGTTGTGTTGTAATTTTTTTTTTTTTTTTTTTTTTAGTTTATTTAGGAAAACAAACAACCGTACAATAAATTTTGATAACAAAGAAATTGATGTAAACTTAATAATTGTACAATCAACACCGTTATCCTTAGTTTACTTATAAAAAAGAAAACATCTCAAAAATATAAAAATCACTAAAAAATATTTTTGCAAAAAGTGTAATTTATGTGTATATTATTCTTCTTTATATTTCTTTATATAATACTTTCCTTCCCTTCAAACCAAGCATTCAAATGCATTATACATTTAAATACTTAGCCCAAAAAAATAAAATAAAAATAACAATAATTATTTTAGGGCACCAAACACAGCGATGAAACCATGAATTCACGAGACAAGTAAGTAGCTACCAAATAAAAAAAGTAATGTAATAAAGAAGTAATGTTGAATGGTAGGAATTTGCAGGAAAATGAATATGTAGTCTGATTACCTATACCCCATTACATAATTGTCAGATTATCATTTAGAGAAACTCTGACATCGAGTTGAACCCACAGTAGAAAAATCTGACGTGCTTGACTTGTATCTAGATTTGCTACCGCAGCAAAAGTCAAAAACACTATTACACTTTTTAATGAAATATTACTTTAAAATTTGAAAAAAGGCTCCGTTCATGAAAATATCGGAACACACTAATAAACTATTAAACATCAACGTAATGACATTTAATACCTATATTTTAAATAAGACCGATGTTTATTTTTCAACGTAGATAGAATGTAAATGTAGGCTTACACGAGTGAATTATTTGCACTTCATTCATTCAGGGAATCCTGAGGAAGTACCCGCTTCTAAGACGGGAATTCCCTTAGCGTATTGGACGCGTTCAGCAAAGAAAAAAGATTTTTATTACCGCGTAAAAAGTCTAGATGGCTTTAATATTTTGATCTTGATGAAATTATGTAGGTACTAAGCACATTTTTAAAGTCTTGTTTATAATTTGATCAGGGGAACGCGGAGGTATTCAGCCCCCAAGATCGAAGGCCCAGGTCGGGGGAGGGGGGGGGGGGGGGGGGGGGGGGTCATATCGTCATAGTCGTGATCAACCGCGACCTATACCTATGCGCAGCTATCCCCTCCGCGGGTTGGTCAGCGCTAGAGTTAGGTGCCGCGACCTATACCCATGCGTAGCTATCCCCTCCGCGGGTTGGTCAGCGCTAGAGTTAGGTGCCGCGACCTATACCCATGCGTAGCTATCCCCTCCGCGGGTTGGTCAGCGCTAGAGTTAGGTGCCGCGACCTATACCCATGCGCAGCTATCCCCTCCGCGGGTTAGTCAGCGCTAGAGTTAGGTGCCGCGACCTATACCCATGCGCAGCTATCCCCTCCGCGGGTTGGTCAGCGCTAGAGTTAGGTGCCGCGACCTATACCCATGCGCAGCTATACCCTCCGCGGGTTGGTCAGCGCTAGAGTTACGTGCCGCGACCTGTAAGCATCTAAAGCCCTCATATTCTTCTCTGCTTCGCATTTCATACACCAAACAACATTTTAATTAAACCTCATTGTAAGTATATTTTTTGTCATAGGAAGATACCTACTGAGACTACAAAATATATAACAAAATAAATAAACCAAAGTTATCACAGAAGCATGACTTCGGCTTAGATAAAAATCTTTACAATACAAATAAACCACAATGTAAACATAGTTAAATTCACATTAGTGACATAATTAACGTGTAGGTAGGTATCTAGGTTGTCGTTTTAAATTGATAATATTAAATATAAAATCTATGTAACAATGAATAATGTTCTTAGTTGGGCCTAGATATATTAACATCTCGTATTATGCTGAAAGGAAATTATTGTGAATTGTTTAATAAACGATGCGGGGAATAACGAAATCTCTTGATACGAGTATACAACGCTGCTATATGTGCACAGCTCGTGTTTTCTTCCATTACAGTTATCGTAAAAATATAAATGTAGTCAAATGGTATATAAAGATGATCGTATTATAATAGCAAAATGCTTTGCAGAGTTGACCTTATAAGAGTAAGAAATAAGGAAAAGTATGAAGGGAGAGATATTGTAAATCATATATCTACATGTATTTTACTAAAAACCTTAAAAAATAAAATATAATAACTAAAAAACATTATTAAAAGGAGTCCCTTTAGGCAAGGTTCCGAAGATACTGGCAGCGTTCCCCCTTTGGATAGCTAGACTAATTCTTTGCCCAAGGTAGCTGCCAGCTCTTCGGTCTCCTGTGACGTCGACTAACCTTTTTGCTAAATCTATGTACTTATTTTAACAAAAAGATCTATCTTAAACCGTGTGCTTGTTTATCATCTCACTAACAGAGACAAGGCAAATTGGATCTCCCGCAGGTATAAGAGCGACGTCCGTCTGAGGAATAACCCTCTATCTTACAGAAGAGCACAGAAAATAACACTATATTTTGGTTGTGTGGTGTTTTTGTATTGTATATGGTTCCAGAGCTACGCGGGATAAGGGAATGGCTTATGGCAGGCAACGACGCGAGTGATAGCTTTGGCATCGGAAGCACAATACATACAAGAGTAGTACTCCGACTTCATACTAGCGCCCGAATCGACGCACGCACACAGACAAGCGTCATTTACACGGCTGCTAATCAATCTTGCCAAGACAAATCTACGCAGCAGTGTTGCCAGGTCTCCATATTTTACAGGAGATCTCCTGTTTTTCTGAAAGTTCTCCTGTTCTACTGTTTTTCTACATGAATGTCCTGTTTTTCTTAAAATACGATTTTCTTTTTTAAATTGCATGTTGAGTTGCAAAAAGTACGCCTCAGCATCTACTCTTTTTCTTGTAGCTCTTTCCATACATCTACTGTTTTTTTTTTATAACGCCTCCCGATTTGGCGCGCCGCTGAGACTGGCGCTTCTGCGTCCGTTTCGATTCCGTAACGGGGCAATAGTAACTATACACATACAATAAAAATCTACACAAATATGTTTTACATTTTGTAGGTACCATGCCTAGCGCTCCACTCAGTCGTAGGTATCTATTTCAAGAAAACTTCTGAGTTACGCTACTGTGGCGGCGACATCTATATGCCCCACATATAACTAACATGGAAGAAATAATCACTCGCCTCCACAAGAGATGGAGCTACCGGCGCTGCGTTCACAACGTAAGGAAGCCTACATCGCGCAAGTGAAATTCGGCAGCCAACAGTTCACATATACGATTCCCGAACAACAACAGTCGGGCCGCGGCCCCCGAGTTACCATCACCCAGCTCGGAGGAATATCTTCCCCTTTGTCCTTCCTACACTACTGTATCCTTAGTACGAGTTTTACAATTACGAAAACTATGATAGTTTTCGTGAGCTCGCACTCGTACTGGTACCCGAAGGTGACTTCAGAAGTATCTCTGAAGTTATTTTTCAACTTGACGACTCTGTATACATACAGGGAGAAAAAAGCAGCCCTTGCTGAGTTTCTTGCCGGTTCTTTTCAGTACAAGGTCTTCCGCCGTAGTTTTGCGAACCGATGGCGTAGCTTCTTGACCTTCACAAGTGCTTGTAACAGCCTAGACTAAATAAATGACTTTTCATTTCATTTTCATTTCATTTCACTAAGGATACTGATTTTATTGTTTTCGTTTCAATACAAATAAACATTGTTTAAATTCTATCATTAAATCATTTGCGTCTTCTTAAATTTTAAGTATATTTGGTTTCACCAAAATGGACATGATTGTGACAATGGCGACCACGCACCGGACAACGCTCAGTGGGCAGGCCCCCTACAATGTGGACCGACGATCTTGTGAAGGTCGCGGGAAGCTGTGAGATGAGAGTGGCGCAGGGCCGATCGGTGTGGAGATCTTTGGGGGAGGCCTATGCTCAGCAGTGGGCGTCATACGGCTGACATAATGATGATTATGATAGTTTTCGTGAGCTCAAACTCGTACTAAGGGTACTGCTTTTGTATGTATTGTGTCGGAAGCGTCTATAGTGGCTGCTTACCATCAGGCAGGCCATACACTTTTCTACCACTCTTTTAACATAAAAAAATACCTTGCACCAACTATCTTTGCGACTGGAATCCACTGACGGTCATAGTCAGGTCCCAAAGTAGATCATATAAAAAAAATGGTTGCCTGTAAAGTCGGTTTTACGGGCGAAGATTTTACGTGACAACGTCTTTTTCTCGGTAGAATATTTATTGATATGAATATAATTAAATTGCACAATAGGAACAAGGAATTGAATGAAAATAAGAATTGCACAAATTTTAACTATAGAAATATATTTTGTTTACTAAAACATTGTACATGTAAACTTAAACTTAACACGAGAGACTCATCGTAACGTTACCGAGCGTTACACTTTTTCATAAGTGACTCCCAGCCGCAACCTAATTTAAGACGTTGTCACGTCAAAACACAACCATATCCAGTATCGAAATAATAAAGAAAAAATTAAATAATTTTTCCTCAAACACTTTTGGAATTGTATCTCAAAGACGGCGCCAAGAGTAGTAAGGTCGCCGAATAGATTCACAATGAATCGTCGCGAAAACACTATCATTGTAAAAGGTAATTAATTATAACCCGTTGAAATTATTTCTCTTAGAGGCTTCTTCGCAGTCGCAACTGTAGCGCATCGGTAAGCAGCCGTCATTTGTTGTCTTACGTTGTCTCGCAGCGGTCACATCTGCAAGTGACCGACTGTATCCAAGGACGTAACTTCTTAATTGATACGTAAAGTGAATCTGGTTTAAACAACTCGTTTGTTGTGTGTTGTGTGATAACGTTATGGAAATGTGCACTAAACATGTGAGTAAATTGAAAAATATAATCTCTTATCTATTAGACAAGTCCATCCGTCTGTCTGTGGTGCTGTTTCAGCGGCCAAACCGTAAGAGATAGATAAAGAGAATATTTAAGTTATAAGTTAAGAATAGTCTGATAAGACTACAAACCGGATTTGAGTAACGTAGCACTTCAAGTTTTGCGAGAAATCAGGTTTTGGTGAACATTTGGTTCACGGTTTGCTAGTAATAGTAATAATGTTTTATTTCAGATACTAGATCCATGGAAATTTTAGTAACAATCAAACCTTAAAAACTATGTTAGTGCACTTCAAAACAAAGTTATTTCATATTTATATACCTTCTGAGGCACCGGTCGCATGAATGTTATAATGAAAATAGATTATGCTTATAGTTTTATTGTTGATTTTTTAAGCATTTAACTGCTTCATGTTGAAATCTAAAGAAAATATTACTTGAAAAAAATTGTCGTGGACTCGATCCGCACCCTTCGCTAGCCGGGCGAATGCACTGACCATTATGCTACCGCAGCCCTAATGGCCGTGCCGAATTTTCTCTATCCTTTCTTAGGCTGCAAAGCAGCGCCATTTCTTCGCATTGTAGGTAACCCACAAATATATTTGTGTCAAATAGATAATAGTTTTAATGTGAAATTTTTATTACATCATCGCCACATATTTCTTCGTTCATCATATACATGTCGCATTACTTTTTTTAATTGTTATACATAATTCTGACGTTGTCAATAAGCATCAGTGGTTCAGTGGTAGAAAACAGCCCGGTCCGGGTTCGATTCCCCGCCGTGCCAGGTTTTCCCTTATCAAACAATTTTTATAAGTCAGAAAATAATTAAGCTATGTAAAACACTGAGGTATTCGAAACCTTAGGCGGTCAGAAGTAACAAAATGGAATCGTAAGCTATAGCGATTGCCATAGCAATCCCGTTAGGTAATTGACACCCAGGAAATTAATTGTAACTCTATGAAATATAGACAGTGACACTCATGTATAGTGAAGCTCTCTGCTGTTGAAAGAATTGTGGTTTTAGATTCAGAAGTTATTGAATTTTTTCGATACAGAAATACAACTCTTTCCTAATTGGCAACCTCCGTGGCCGAGTGGTTTGTACGCTGAGATTCAAATGTCGCCTCTCGAGAGGTCACAACAAACGGGTTCGAATCCCGGCGGGTGCAGATATTTGTGTGATGAATACGAGCATTTGTACTCCAGCCATCGATGGTAAATATATATTTCTATATGAATATACTTATGCATACGTCATACATAATATTATATGTATCAGTATATGTATTCTATTTACCCTGGTATCCCATAACACAAGCCTACAGTGCTTACTTTGGGGCTAGGCTAATTGGTGTGTGTGTTGGTAATGTTTAGTTAATTATAATATTCGTAGACCTATATTAAATAAAATAAATATGTCCAACACTCACACCAATTAGCCTAGCCCCAAAGTAAGCACTGTAAGGCTTGTGTTATGGGATGCTAGGGTAACGGGTAGAATACATATACTGTACATATATAATTATATTTTATAGAAATACATATTAAACATCCATGACTGGAGTACAAATGCTCGTATTCATAACACAAACATCTGCCACCACCGGGATTCGAACCCGGGACCTCTCGAGTCGGCGACACCATGAAACCCGGCGTACAAACCACTCGACCACGGAGGTCGTCAAAATTCAAATGTAATTAATAAATAGATAAATATTTCTTACACTCACACCAATTTAGCCTTCCTCTTTAAGTAAGACTTGAAGGTCTCGTGTAAAGAGCTACCGAATATAATAACGCAAAGGATAACATACACAGTTTTAAGCCATGTTTAGGCAAACGTTAAGGCAAAATTTGTGTGAATTTTTTCTTAAACTCGCGTCGAGAAAATGCTAACTTTTTAGTTGGTAATAAGGATAATCTTATAAACAGGGTGTTAAAAAACCTTTAACGATATGTATTTTTTTAACTTAAAAATACAAATGTTTCCCACGTATAATATTTTGTAATATTACTTGTTTGGGTGTACAGAATGCGTAGTATTAGTCTTTGTCATAGTTTTTTTTTACACCCTGTATACAAAGATATTTTTGTAGAAATATAAATATATTAGCCATGACTTAAGTATAAACGCTCGTATTCATCACACAAACCTTTGCTCCACCAGATTTCGAACCCAGACCCTCAGAACAGGCGACACATTGAAAACCGGTCGTCATTCACATTAAATGTAGTATACAGGGCGTCCCACGGCAACCTCACACGGAGGGAAAGTATATTAAATATTGAAGATAGGATATTTTACTAAAAGAAGACATCATTTTATTTTTAATAATAATCAGAACTGCAATCACAGATTTTTTTAAAATCGCCTGGTACAACTGGGAATCAAACTCGTGAAATTTCGAAAAAAGAACTCGACATATTTTAAGATAACCATCGAAAGGGTTACTCATAAGTATTACTTTTTGCTAAATAACGTAGAATGTTAAATGAAAGATAAGTAATTTAATTTAACATTTTATTTAACATAAACTAATGCAATGGAAAGGAGCATGCTAAATATTAAAAAGTCCGACAGAGTTAAAAAAATCATCATTAGAAATAAAACAAAAATTACCGATGTAACAAATAAAATCAAAAGACTCAAATGGCGATGGGCTGGTCACCTGGTAAGAGGACACGACAAATGGAGCAAAAGGGTGACATGGTGGTACCCAAGGGAAGGCAAAAGGAAGAGAGGCCGACCACAGAAAAGGTGGGATGATGACATTAGACATGTAGCAGGAGTCACGTGGAACAGAGTGGCTCAAGAAAGAAAGGAATGGAAAAGGTTGGAGGAGGCCTTTGCCGACTGGCAAACAGATCTAGGAAAGATAACTAAGCAACAAATATTAGTTTAAATTGTTTATTAACTTTAAGATTTTAATGTTAGGTCTTTACATAAGTTTAAGAATCCATTGTACTAAATGATCTGAATAAAAGGCTTTATTATTATTATTAATATAAAATCGGATACGCCTCAGAGTAAGTTAAATGTTGAGTTCATCATCGTTGACGTTTATCTTTTGCTGCTGTAGTTTCTGTAAGCGCATATCAAAATGTCCTAAATTTAACGTAGCACTTCAGGTTTTCGAGAAATCAGGTTTTGGTGAACATTTGGTTCACGGTTTGCTAGTAATAGTAATAATGTTTTATTTCAGATACTAGATCCATGGAAATTTTAGTAACAATCAAACCTTAAAAACTATGTTAGTGCACTTCAAAACAAAGTTATTTCATATTTATATACCTTCTGAGGCACCGGTCGCATGAATGTTATAATGAAAATAGATTATGCTTATAGTTTTATTGTTGATTTTTTAAGCATTTAACTGCTTCATGTTGAAATCTAAAGAAAATATTACTTGAAAAAAATTGTCGTGGACTCGATCCGCACCCTTCGCTAGCCGGGCGAATGCACTGACCATTATGCTACCGCAGCCCTAATGGCCGTGCCGAATTTTCTCTATCCTTTCTTAGGCTGCAAAGCAGCGCCATTTCTTCGCATTGTAGGTAACCCACAAATATATTTGTGTCAAATAGATAATAGTTTTAATGTGAAATTTTTATTACATCATCGCCACATATTTCTTCGTTCATCATATACATGTCGCATTACTTTTTTTAATTGTTATACATAATTCTGACGTTGTCAATAAGCATCAGTGGTTCAGTGGTAGAAAACAGCCCGGTCCGGGTTCGATTCCCCGCCGTGCCAGGTTTTCCCTTATCAAACAATTTTTATAAGTCAGAAAATAATTAAGCTATGTAAAACACTGAGGTATTCGAAACCTTAGGCGGTCAGAAGTAACAAAATGGAATCGTAAGCTATAGCGATTGCCATAGCAATCCCGTTAGGCAATTGACACCCAGGAAATTAATTGTAACTCTATGAAATATAGACAGTGACACTCATGTATAGTGAAGCTCTCTGCTGTTGAAAGAATTGTGGTTTTAGATTCAGAAGTTATTGAATTTTTTCTAACTTTTTAGTTGGTAATAAGGATAATCTTATAAACAGGGTGTTAAAAAACCTTTAACGAAGTAGAAGGCCACGTATTTTCCACATCATGGCGATCATTTTTGTCCTGTGGACCATACCCGGGAAATTTATGGTTATGGAGATATTGAAGGTCAAAGCCCCAATTTCCTTTTCAAGATTTTTACAAAAACCTTATTTAGAAACTTTTTTATTGACGCACACACATACACACAGGCACATTCTTTGCGAAGCGCCACAGTAGCGCGCCGCGCTATACATACATACGCGTACTGGAAAAAATATGTATTTTTTTAACTTAAAAATACAAATGTTTCCCACGTATAATATTTTGTAATATTACTTGTTTGGGTGTACAGAATGCGTAGTATTAGTCTTTGTCATAGTTTTTTTTTACACCCTGTATACAAAGATATTTTTGTAGAAATATAAATATATTAGCCATGACTTAAGTATAAACGCTCGTATTCATCACACAAACCTTTGCTCCACCAGATTTCGAACCCAGACCCTCAGAACAGGCGACACATTGAAAACCGGTCGTCATTCACATTAAATGTAGTATACAGGGCGTCCCACGGCAACCTCACACGGAGGGAAAGTATATTAAATATTGAAGATAGGATATTTTACTAAAAGAAGACATCATTTTATTTTTAATAATAATCAGAACTGCAATCACAGATTTTTTTAAAATCGCCTGGTACAACTGGGAATCAAACTCGTGAAATTTCGAAAAAAGAACTCGACATATTTTAAGATAACCATCGAAAGGGTTACTCATAAGTATTACTTTTTGCTAAATAACGTAGAATGTTAAATGAAAGATAAGTAATTTAATTTAACATTTTATTTAACATAAACTAATGCAATGGAAAGGAGCATGCTAAATATTAAAAAGTCCGACAGAGTTAAAAAAATCATCATTAGAAATAAAA